TGGAAGAAGTTTTCGTGGCGAACGCGTGTTCAATGCACTTGGGTACAAGTCCGGGTGTTACGAGGTCGTTAATGTTCGACTATGATACAGTTGTACTATGTTAAAAGCATGAACCTATTGACTTTCCGATGACATCGGTGGTGACGTCAGATTGGAAGCTGTTGAGAAAACATATTTAGAACCTTACAATTACATGTATGTTTCATATTGCACTCGTCACTTACACAGTTTGCATACTAGAATAACTGCTGCCTAAAGCTGCGCAGTTCTCCTGACATATGAAGGCCTATAAACGATCGAGTTACTCACATTATATTAAGATACTCAAGTTTGATACCTTCCGTAAAATACTGACACGTTGGACTTTCTGAGGGACATGTTTACCACACCCCACATTCTAGTTCCAATCATGACTGGATTAAAATTGGGTCTGAATGTAAAGAAAGTAGATACCCCGTGAATGGTTTCCAGGGATACGAGAACTGACGAATAATGGTGTAATTACTCATTTCTATAACCATCCTATGTCAGCATTGTGAAACAGCATGTAGGTTAAATGTTGAAGACATTTCCCAACAGTCTTAAAATGTGATCAATTGAAACATATATCCAGACGTTATGTAGAAGCACTTAAAGAGTTGTATGGAGGTCGCGTTGTACTTGACCATATTAAGTTCCAGAAGATCACTGTTAAGCAATGTCATATTATCTTAATCGTTTCGTATCAACTGGAGTTGATCGGTACATAAATAAACCTATTATAAATAAGCTTTGAAATCAACGGGATAGTGTTACAATACAGTGACAGAGACTTTTAAAATGTAGTTCAAGGGCATTCTTGTTGAATAGTTACAACCTAGCTAGCTGACTTATTCATACCAAATGTGGCTAACAGAAAGCCTTTTATCACTACATGAGCCCAAATTGCCACGTCGCGACGCCATTGTCAAAAGGTGGTGTTTTATATTACTACAGTCAACGGGTGACCTTAAAAAGCTTGCGGTAACTCAGATACGCCAACATTACTGCGTCGGCTACAAATTGTTCATTATTCAGTTTCGACTTGGGAAACGTGTGCGAATGTTTGTGAGCAATTTATTATTTCCGTTCGGAAAGAGGTGAGACTTTTAATATCACCTTGAAGAAATCTTTTAATCTACGTTTCTGTGGAAACCGTGTAACGGGACTGTCTGTTCCCAAGACCAGCCAGTTATATCCGGTTGGAAGCAATCTGATGAGTCAAAGTTACTTAAGCCTATCTTTGACAGTTAATAAGTATGTAGCGTTCCTAAAAAAGAATAACTAAAGGATAAAGGATTGGTAGGAGAGATAACGGTAAGCTGACGTTATCAGGTCCCTCGTCATGACTTGATTTGTTTCCGGAGCATAACTCAAAACAACATTCAATATTTCTTAATCAAACTTTGCACATACATCAGCCCAGCCATGAGGTGGAGCCTTATCTTGCTTAGTAATTTTTGAATGTTGTATTTGTTTCTATGACAACATATTGAGCATTGAAAAGAGGACAGGGTTACTTTCCAGACTATAACACAAAGACCCTTCAATAATTGATCAAAATCTGCCCAGAATCCAGTAGTGCCTTTTATTTTTTGTAAACGAGGATTTTGTCGGGTTTCCATGACAACAAATTGGACTCTGATTCAAATAAGGGGGCAGGTGAGGGTTTATTTCATGACCACAACTCACCGACCCTTCAATATTTCTTGATAAAATTGGTGCGATATGAGTTTAGCCATTAACTGAACCATAATGATTCTATTTACTTCTGTGCTGATGGAATTCTTTATCTTTCCCTTCTTTTTCTAATACCATCCAAACAAATAGAAAGTGCTTGTGTCTCCAATAATAACCACTGCTCTCAGTGATCTTCTCATGGTAACATCGCCCTACTGAGATATCAGTTTATTAATCAAGTATTGCACTCAATAGAACCATTGGAGGTGTTATTATCCTCAATGCTTGTTCTAGTTTACACATCCTGCCCTGTGGAACATCTTCACGTTGGGTTCAAACAACTTTGCTAGATTCATTTGCCTTATCAAACATGCAGGATATCGATGTCTCGGAACACAGCCAAGTATCTCAACGTCTCACAGATCAATATCTCAACGTGTTCCCGAAAAGGATAGCATTTCCTGCTATGCCGGTAGCACCCGCTACTCACACAATTTCAATAAAAGCATAAGTGTTTCTTGCCCCATGCGAAAAGCAATACCCCTGCCAACTGAAGAAGGCATGTAAAAAGTCGAGTCGTGACACTTGTAAGTTACATTACATTAAGATAATCAAGTTTAACACCTTTACCGAAATGTTATAACGTTCCCACGTTCTAGTTCATACTCTGACCCATAATTCCCAACGGGGTATCAGTTAAAACTTCTTATGTTCTAATTCACTATGTTCAACCGAACATAAAACATTTACTATGACAACATACTCCACTCATGGGTAATGCCTACCGCTGTTAACAGGCGAGCGGGTTTATTTACAAAATCATACATGTAGACACGCGACTGTCGTGTTATATTCCATTCCAAACACCGACACTCCATATTCTCTAAGGTATTCTTTCTGTAACAAAAACGTACATTTTAATATTTTTGGCACATAAAACCGTTACGAAATACTGCAATATCCTTGTAATATCGCGCTTGAACACTTTATAAATTACTGCGAAATTAACTTTTTGAAAATATAAAGATAACTTATCTGGACGGTGGGTCTTCTTGTGTATACAAATCCATGTCCGGACTCCTGAATCACCTCTCTGTGGGATCACTCACTGAAAGAAAGCAACACCCTTCTCCGTGCTAAACAGCACTCAATGCCCTGCGGCAATTTTTCCCATACGGTTTTACCTGCCATTCGGCAACACTGCAATAACAGGCCGTCCAACACAGACAAGCATTACACTAAAAATCTGATTACCTTTATGTGTATATTTTTAACAAACAAAGAAGACAACAGCTCGCCTGTGTGACGCGAAGGCCTCGAGTGGTGTTTCTTGCCCTCTCCTCTGCACCTTAAGCACGTGACGCCACCGCTTTCACGTGCACAGCCTTCTTCAAATCACATTCGTTACCGTATTTACCCCATAGTAAATACATTTATGTTCTAATTCACTATGTTCAACCGAACATAAAACATTTACTATGACAACATACTCCACTCATGGGTAATGCCTACCGCTGCTCGAATTAAAAGAACGGGTCCATGCAGCAGATTTATTTCGACTTATTTACAATCCCAACATTGATGACACACTCAACAGTTCAGAAACATTGTCTTTGATATAACCGTCTTTGGCCTTATCTGACGCCCAGCGTCCGTGTCTCTTGAACAGTCTGTCTGTTACTCCGGCGTTAGCTGCAGCAGTCGCCCCTCCTGACCGAAAACTGTGAAGACCCACTTTTTTGACATCTTCACCAATTAGTTTGAATTTCTCAATAAAGATTTCCCTCGCTCTGGTATATGATAAAGGTTTCTGACCTTTAAGTACATACTTTTGTACAGATTTACAGAAGGAAAGTTGACGAAAAATATATTAATTGGAAGTTTCAGCAACATTTCCAGCAATCAGGTACCTGTTTAGCATATTTACTGGACATAGATCTGAGCCTGTAGCAGCGATCAAAACATGACGCCCATCCCTATAAACGTCAGTTTTACTGTTCTCAACAAAAATACTCATGAAGCCATCCTTGAATTTAATGTTTGACCGTCTGATATTCACTACTTCAGAAAATCTGAAAAACCCAGCAAAAGATAAAAGTGACATTGTTAAAAACCTTAAATCAAGTAGAGAGGGAGTTTTCCCAGATATACTAACCAATTTCTTTAACGTGTCACAAGTAACAGGTTCTTTTTTCTTGACTGGAGTACTACACGTTCTTAATGCCGCTTCTCTGATGTTCACAATCAAATCATGTTTACAAGGATCTGGCAGACATGCAAGCTTGTGCGCCCAACTAATACCGTAAATAGCTTCCATGACAGATGGAGCTTTCTTACCTCCCTGAACAAGTGATGTAAGATACAAAGCAACATGAAATGGATGAGCAGGCAAACATGTAATCTCCTTAAATTTTGAACTCCATTTTTTCCAACTATTATAAGATCTTTCATACTTATAGACTGTCGCTGGGGCCTTAGACTTGAGAACTAAATCTGGCATATGTCCTGCTAGATCAATAAGGTCTGTATGAACTAAATTGTTCTTCAGCTTCCAGATACCGGAGGAGGACATGTCTGAAACAACAACATTGATCTCATGGAATAATTCTAACTGCTAATGCGTAGCCATCGAATTTGTCAAACAAGGATTTCTTGCTGCCGTTTGAAAATGCAATACTTCCATTTAATTGCAAACTATCAGCGATATAATGTTTGAACTTTCCGTCATCAAAAAGTGAAGTCCAGAACACAGCTGATTGCCACCTAGGCACTACTAAAGTTATGCTAGCTTCACTTTGAAGAGCATATCTAACAGCCTTTGTTACCAAATGCACAGGGGGGACAACCCAGTTGTTATCATATTGCCATGACTGTGTAAAAGCATCTACTGCTTCTGTGCCAGGGCACCAAGATCTGGAATTGAATCTACACAACTTAGCATTATAATGACTAGCAAATCTATCAACAGTATGTGGACCCCACTTCTGGTTTAGCAACTTGAAGACAGCATCAGTAACAATCCAGTCATCAGCATCTTTAAATTTACTTAACGCATCTGCTCTGTCGTTCTCTGAACGTGGAATCCAGCTAAACTTTATCCTGATGTTATACATCCTAACCACGGTGAACACGGACATAGCAAGCTCCTGTAAGGATGAATTGAAACTACCAAAAGAAACAATTTGACAGCAAGCCTTGCTATCTGAGAACCACTTAACAGTCTGATTAGACAGAACCTCTCTGAAAACGTTCAAAGATAATTCAACAGCTTTCAACTCCCGCCAAGTTGAACTCTTGCCCACTTGATCCTCGTCCCATAAACACTGAAATATCCGGTCAGAATTCTGTATATAAGCAGCACAGCCCTTGGAACTAGCATCTGAGAAAACGGTCAAAACAGGAGCAAAAGTTTCATAAAATCTTCTGCTATTAAAAGTTTAAACATTATCTCTCCAGAATATAAGTTCAAATACACACAGGGGGTCAACTAGACTTTGCTTTCTATCCCAACTTGAAGCTCTTTGTATTACTGAATACATGCGTCTAGTCAAAAGTCTGCAGACATCCCCATAAACTGGTGAAAGAGAGATAATTTGTCCTGTTAAACTAGCCAGGTTACGTGCTGTGAATTGCGGTAAACCTGCCAAAACTCCTGCGCATGTGTTTCTCACATTATCTAATCTCCTAGAAGGAATAGATATCACACCTATATCAAGATTCCAATTCAGCCCGAGCCATTCAAGGTGTCTTGTGGGTTCCCAAACTGACTTCTGATCGTTACAAACAAAGCCTGCTCTGCACAAAGAAGATTTAACAAAACCAGATCGCTCCTTGCCTAAGGCTTCAGACGAAGCAAACCCAAATCCATCATCTAAGTAAATTACAACATCTACAGAATGTTTTCTCCAGTATCTAACTAATGGCCTAAAACACTTAGTAAATATATAAGGGGCCGAGGTTAGACCAAAAGGTAAAACTGTGAAACAATAAAAACGCTGTACACCTTTAACTGACCAAGAAAAGCCCAAAAACGTGTGTTGACTAGGGTGAATATCTATGTGGTGATACCCAGACTTAAGATCAAACTTGTACATGTATCCACAAGGTCTAACGAAATCCAAAGCAATCTTGTAATCCTCAAAGACTATCTTTTCTTTCCAAACATATTTGTTTACCACTCTTAGGTCTAAAATCAACCTTTTCTTACCAGAGCTATTAATAGAAACTGATAGGGGATTTACAACCTGAGGTAAGTCTACGACTTCAACAATACAGTTGTTTAACAGGAGATCCTGGATAGCCTCAGAGACAAAGTCGCTATGTTTTACAGCAGAAGCGTTGTTCTTACTAATAGACAAGGGAGGCGACTCCACAAAGGGGATGATGTAACCTTCCATAATAGTTCTAATGATGAATTCTGGAGCTTCTATATCCTTCCAAAATGAGATGTGCCTCTTAAGATTTTCCTTAATGTTATGCTTACTCGCTGACGTATCTGTTCTGTCAAGATAACTAGGTACAGGTACAAAATCAGTACTAATACCTCTGGTTTCAGGTTTGACTTTGTCTATGGGTGAAACATCAAGCTGTGACCTACTACTAGGCTGTTCTGATATTGAACGGGAGACCTGTGGCAAATCCATGTTAGTTTTTCTTTTAATACTTCTGCTTGAGTTCTGATCCCCTGAAACATATGTAATACGATCTCAATCAAGATAGTAACGCATTAGCCACTCAAATATATATGTCATATCTCAAAAGTGGTTTTGATTTACCTGAATAATCACTGCTTTTTGCAGGCCTCTGTAGGCTGAAGTCCTTGTGGTGGGTTGAAATTACTTGACTGTGATGACCTCTGGGCGGCTGCAAGGGGACATGTGGCTCTCCAGTGCCCAAAGGCTCCGCAAAAGTAGCATTGTTGGTTTGGAAGTGGTGTTTTCCTGGGTTGAAAACGAAAGGGCTGGTTCTGCTGAACCTGAGGGGCCTGTTTGGGTAATTCGCTGTTAGGATTGGGGAAAGTTGCAGAAGGATAAGGACTATAACCTCTACCACGGGAATTGAAAGAAGTAGGGCGCTTTCTGCGCTGTGCCTTACTTTCTGCTCTCTCGAAACGTCTCTCTTCATCCGAGTTTGAAGCCAACTCATCCCCTTCCAACTCCGAGACTACTGCCCAACAGGCTGTAGATCTATCTGCAAGTCCTTCAACAGAATCCTGTGCTTTGTTAGGTTGACCAGGAATGTGTAGTTCTTCAACGGAGTCAAGATTTTCCTGCTGTGGTGAATCCATTCCGAACAAAGAAGACAACAGCTCGCCTGTGTGACGCGAAGGCCTCGAGTGGTGTTTCTTGCCCTCTCCTCTGCACCTTAAGCACGTGACGCCACCGCTTTCACGTGCACAGCCTTCTTCAAATCACATTCGTTACCGTATTTACCCCATAGTAAATACATTTCTAATCATTTACAATGAAGTATTTTATTTGGCTTAAACATCTCCGTTTAAAACCTCTGATGATCGAATTTAATAAGAGCTTGCAGAAAATCCCTGGTATCCGACGCAACAAATTACGTAATTGTTCATAAAAATGTGAGCTACGTTCAGTGCCATTCCTCAGACACATTCTTGGGATCAAATGCTTTAAATTGTAGCTGTTTAATGAACTCGATGGAATCCCGTCAAAATGTCTCTAACCATTGCAACATGTTTCGTTTAAGCCAAATTTTACGCTTAGGTGTGAGGACATATGACTGCGGAGATCAGCCCCGTTGGAATTTCTTGATTAAAAGAGGTTCCAAGCAGCCTATAGGCGACTCAATGTATCGGGTTCCGACGATATGGCTCGCTGCTCATAATATCAATCACTAGGTTGTCTCGTTCCGGGTCGATGAATTCACAGGCTGACGTCATACATCTGGAACATAAGTGCAGCGTTTTACAACGAACTAACAAATAAAACACTCTTCAGATGATTGATTGTATGATTAACTATGATGGGCCCTGCAGGAACTCTAACTACCACTGATATCACTCATTTTCATTTCAGTGTTGAAAACCACAATCTGACATGTTCCGTCTCTTTCACTGCTGACTATAAACATATTATTCGTCAACAGACAAGCAGCTGACATAAGAATCAACATCTTCCGCCATCGAGGATCTTGACTACTCCACCCAATTAAATGACAGCTTGTGAGAAGAAATGGGGCGGTGAGGATTTTTTTCTGATCCAGGCTTCCTACAGGTGCTACCATAACCGTAATAGCACATGCATCAACTACGTCAAATCGGTATTAAATACTGCTGATGCAAGGCGCTCGTGAATAGCCATATCCTGCCCAACCTGTGGCATCCCTCAGAAGAACAATCAAAGGGTAGTCAACTGCTCAATCCACGAAATACATGTGAACACATGACACAAGTTAAAATGGGAATTGCATCGGACATAATTTCTGTCACGAATGCGTTAAAAATGTGCCTCACATGTCTAGCTTAAAACTTTCTGAACGCTCCGCGAAGGCCTTGAATGCAACTTCTTTAACTGGTAAGAAAGCACAAATCACGTACACAACCGTTAAGTAATTGCCTAATGTTCCAGCTATTCAAATCAATTCTTCCATCAAAGCCAAGTACTCTTATGTAAGATACGAAGAGGAAAACAAAGGAACAACAGTTTGTCACCCTCTTTCTTCCCAATCTGTGCACATGGAGAATTTTAAATGAATTGATTATTGTTAATTCAACAATTACTGTTTCTCAGGGGAGATGATAACGATTTTCTTCTGTCGTATCTCCATATTGGTATCGACCACATGTCACAGAGTACATGTAGGTGTATGTGTCTCATTTCAAGAGGTTCGGGAAGAAAAAGACACTGGATCTGCACCATTCTGATGCAACTACAGCAATATTAATTTAAAGCCAAACGAAACATACTTCTAATTGGTTACAAGAGGACGCCATGATCGTGAGCTGTGTAGGTTTAGAATTAAATTCCTCAATAAAATATATTTGATTTCATCAAGTCACTGTCACGCTGTCTACTCACACATGTCTGTCCTTCTTTACGTCAGCGATCGCCTCCGTTGTGAAGTGGACAAACGACCACCGACCCACCAGATGGTGGAAGGTCTGTAGATCGATCCTCTGGTCGAGACATATCGCAAGACGTTTGAAAAATTGTCCTTGTTGCTACCTTGCATGGCGCTAAGCATTAAAGGGATAAAACAAAAACAAGTTGGGTCGAAATCAGACCAATACGTCTAAGAAGGGTATTCGTGTTAAACTGCGGCATGGTGTCTGATTGGGTTAGCATTACCAACACGGCAAATGTCCGGACCTGTACAAGCAGCCACACACACGTGCATGATACATGAATAAAATTATATTGAACGCGTTGCTAAACCCAATTTGATATCATCTCACCTTTAAGTAAGTACTGTTGTAGACGGGAATATAAGAAAATAGGCATTAAATGTCTTTAGAAGATGAAGACAATTCTGTTGAACACTGCTGTCTTTCAGCTTCAATTATGCATTTTTATTACTTCTAACAATATTAAATGCTCACATTCTATGATGGCATACGCAAACGTTAAAAGTGATAACTTGTCGTGGTGTAAACACGAGTTCGAATTTAAATAAAAATCCTCGTCTGCTTCATGTACGTTTCAACTTTCAATTAATGTATTTTTAAAGTATTTCCCAGATATGTCTTAATGTCCCGGGAAAAGATCAGCGATTCAGTGTGTGAGCGAATGCAGTTTTGTACCGCAGAGTGACCTATTCGACTCACGTAGGCGTCATAATTCCCTTAGTAGAGTTCCGCCCATTATTCTTAGAAACATTTGTTCGCCGTGATTGTTTCTAGGTCGGCATCATACCCGTGCTGGGTGGTTACACATGATGGGTCAACATGACTACTTCGGGCTATTTGCCAACATTCACGCCCCTCTCCCTCCCTCACTCACTCACTCACTGACGCTTGAATTACTTTAAGAGCAGAGTTAGACCAATCTCACTCACTCACTCACAGCCACCCTCTCTTACACCCACCCACCCAATCGGTGTCCAATACCACACTGGCAAATTACCCAATATCAACAACAGTTCCATTTTCACTCAATTTGACTTGCTGTCGCTGGGGTCAATTTGACCGAGAACAAGTATTTGGGGGAGTCGCAACAGAACAGATCAGATCTAGACAGCCGCTTCTTAAACCTCTTCCTAAACCATGCCTGTTCTGCTTTCTTCTCAGCGCCGTATTTAAAGGCTTCAAGGTCACCATGATATTGTTGAATCTAAAACAATAATAACAGAACCAATTGTTTCTTCAATCGTCATGTGTACATCACACGTCTCATTAATCCACGCCAGTGTGCTTCACTTGTTGTTTTACCGTTCCCCAGTGATTATATCTGAGGATAAGTTACCTGTTTGTGACAGCTATCTCTCAATCAGCCTATCTTTGATGTAGCCCATTGACACAAGTTGTAACCGATCAATAGAAGCAGATCACATGTTTAGTTTCCGCTCTGACCTTCTTAAATTCATAAAAGTAGAAGTACAGTGCCTAATTGGAGGTGTTAACACGTTCTTGAAGGAACAAAGTAAATTATTTCTGAATTAGGAAAGGGCACCGGAGCATGCTGCATTTAATGTTTTCTAAATTAAAATTTGAATGTGTCGCAATCGTCCTTCAGCTACCTTTTTATATTGTGATGTTATCGGTGTTTAATAAGTTTTACCTCTGCACATAGGTTTATTTAACAGTCATTGAGCTTAAAATCACGTGACTGGTATACGCTCAGGGGCGTAAGAGATTTTGATATTTTTGATGGCATTGAGTATTTGAGTTTTGAGTAAATGTGATTTGTAACTCAGGGCCAAGCCAAATGTTTATAGGTTTTTATAAATTCCGTCTGACATGAAGTTTGTCTGGAATACTGTGACGTCATGATACTACGGATGACGTCATATCCTTCCAAGAAATCTGTATCCGCCTTGCTGACAGAAACCAAAAAAAGAACAACCTTGTTGATTTTCTTTCGTTCTGATAGGTATTTATCAAAAACAGAATATACGATTGGTGCAGTATTCGTGTTGAGTGCAGCGTTGATCAAATGTGTGCTGTGATACTTATCATGAATTCATACACAGAACATGCCGTGTTTGGAATACTATTAAACAACGTTTCTGAAAAAAATCAGTAGACACTCGTTTCACAATCACCGATAAAATGTATGTTATCATCATGTCCTGAAGATATTAACAAAAATTTGTATCGATACAAAAACAATATTTAGTATCAGTGCAGCAAATCAAAGCGTGTAGTACGTATTTCAAGTTCTGAACTGTGGATTCGGTCTGTGGTCCCTACCGAGAGGGTAAACTGTCATATATATATGTTCAATCCTTATGTATATACTCGAAAACCCTGGAAATTGTACAGTTAAATATATTACTGGTGTCCTAAGTTGTAATGTATCAACTGAAAGATGAGTCAGAGGAACTTTGCATTGTATATTTTCCATAATCAAGATCAATAATCCAAAGTAGAAAAGATGTAACTCACCGTTATTTCCCAGGGTCAGTCCCATAAAAACCTTTACAAGGTCACGTTCCTTCCGACGCATTGACTTTTTCTTGCTGTTGACATCAGGTGGCCCTTTTGAGTGTTCATACATAAAAGCGACAGGTAAAGTTATAATTACACACAAAAAGACCATCTAATTTACAGTAAACAAAACCTCGACGAACTAAGCTGATATACGTGGATGACTGATCTAAAGTGTACAATATCAATATTTTCCTTTTTAAATCCGTTTAAATCCGAAAATGTGAGTCATCTATTTATAACTTTTTAATATGAAATTTCATCGAGATATTGCTTTTCCATTGGAATAGAAGCCGGTCACATGACCGCGAAACTGACGTTCATAACCTTATGAACGACACAATTTGATGTCATCTATAAAACAGCGGAAGGAAAGTCTTAAAGCTCGTACAAAAACTTGGACCTATGTGACGTCATTAACATCTCGGTCTGGAATCACATTCACTCTCTTACTCCACTGATGTCTGACTATGATTATTGGAATTTCTTTCCTTAAGAGAGCACTTGATTCTATGACTCAATGCTGTCACTTCGAATGGTTGTAAAAATCGCCCAATTC